ACTGGATCCACCAGACTTTTCACCCAACAGCCTGTGATTTTCCTGTTTTTGGCATCATTGCATGTACTGCGTGAGTCTGAAGAGGAATGTATGTACTCGTATTAAACACATAGGTTTATGGATTATGAACATTGGACTTATGGATTTGATCTGGACTGGGCTGGGATGTTCTCTCAATATACAATTGCCCTGTGATATAAAGCTCACACATATATGAGTATCAATGGATTTGTTTCTCTAGTCAAACTGGACTAAACATGTCTTTAAGTAAAATTTGTAGGTTAGTTGAAACAAGTGCATACAGTTCTTATTTAGCCTTATTCTATTTTAACAGCTTTATTGGCACATACTCTACATATCATACAACTCAATAGTTCAATCATATCAAGAAGAGTTGTACAATTATTACCACAATCAATTTTAGAAGTTTCTTGTACTCCTTGTTATTAACACTCCATTTCCCTGCAACCTTCCTGCCACACCCCAAGAAACCACTAATCAGTTACTGCCTCTGTAGATTCACCCATCTGGGATTTCATAGACCAAAAACATACAAAAACAGACACACAAAAAGCTAACAGCAGCAAAATAAAATAGAGAAAAGACAATAGAGAAAAAAGAGAATAGACACCGACAAAACACACAACTTTCCTCTAGTTCTTTACGCTTCCTCCCCACCCCTACTATCATGACCCCAATTCTACCTTACAAATCCACCTAGACTGGAGCATGTACACTGCTACAGATAAGAGCTCATTGCAACACAGGGAATCCAGGACAAATAAACCTCTCAGGACCAATAATGAGAGTAGTGATACCAAGAGGGTAAGGGTAAGGTGGGGGAAGAATGGGGGAACTGATCACAATGATTGACATATAACCCCCTCCCAGGGTGACAGACAACGGAAAAGTGGGTGAAGGGAGACAGCAGTACTGCAAGACATGAATAAAATAATTTATAAATTATCAAGGGTTCGTGAATGAGCTGATACCAAGGGCTCAAGTGAAATAAACTGTTTGGAAAATTATGATGGCAACCTACCTACAACGGTGCTTGGCACAATGGAAGTATGTATGGATTCTGATGAGCTGTAAGAGCCCCCAGTAAAATGATTTTAAAAAAAGACTATCTGCCAAATAAAAACAAAACAGGTGATTTTTATCAGTTTTTTTAAAAAGTCAGAGAATACAAAAAACTAGAGCAACTTTAAAATGGATCAGAAGGGAGATCAAATAATAAGGTGTTAGATTTTAACCTGCCCACCTCTGCCAGAATCCACTTTCCAATGCACTCGGCATGATAGACAGTGAGGCTCTTCACCTCCCTGGTCTACAGTCAGCGAGGATTCACCGGAGGCTTAATCCACATGTATTTCCCCTTCACTTGTTGTTTTTTCTTTAAATTGAAACAAATTTAAATGGGTCAAAAGGAAAATCAAATAAGATATTATCCTGTAACCTAAATATATCTACTAGAATCGTCTTTGTCTGACAACAAGGTTATCCACATCCCTCAGCTAAGGTCAGAGAATATTCTCTGGAGGTTAATCCATGTATGGACCCTGCAAATGGATTTTGGCTTCCACTGTCAGCCATAGCTTTCTGCAAACCAGTGTTCACAATTTAAGCTGATTTGAGTTTTATTATTTACAATCCTTGTATCATACAGGTTGTTGTGCTTCTTTTAAGTGGACTTAGTTGATGCCTCACTTGGATGGCTTGTTTGAAGCCAAGCCATTATGACCCCATACACTATTCTTTCTGATAGCCAGCACCATCTCGTTTCTTCACCACACCTGGTTATAACACCCATCTCTTCAGTGATCTCTTCATGAGGATGAGTATCAAGCAGGGCCATGTCGTAAGAACGAATTATTCTTAGATTGGGGCTAGAATTAAGTGTGAGTGTCCAAAATCCATTCTATGGCTTGTATATGTCTCTGATTCACCTTAGAGACGTTATTGTCATTATGTTAGAGAGCATTATAAATCATCTCCCTGTGGCATATGGTAATTCTACTGCTCTTGTTCATGTCATTGATTTAGCCAGTGATATAGAATTTAAAACATCATTGAGAAAAGCAGATCATACAAGTATAAGCTGGCCATGAACCACAATATATAAATTATTGACTTGTACAGATCAAACTCAAGTGACTGAACACTATTGATACAAACAATGGGGGTTGGTGATAAGGAAAAACTTTAATATTCATTGACTGTGTCAGAACCAGGCCCACCAGATAAATACACATCTTAATAAAATGAGGAGGGCATTAAAATAGTAAGTATATGATAGTCCCAAGCCTCCATTCATCAGGTACCCTCAAAGCCATTGATCCAAACCAAAGTCTCAAAGACCACCACCAGTTCTATATCCTTGGTAGAGCAGTCATCTGCTTCTTCTCACATTATTGCGTTTCAGCCTTAAGTCCAAGGGCGACAGGTGAATTTGAGGTTACAGCGTAGGCCATTTAGTGGCGTTTTCTACAGCGCAGGCCATTTAGTGGCCATTTAGTGGCGAGTCTTTCGGATGTAGGCTAGGAAGGATGTTGTGCACCTTGAAAGAACATGGTCTAACATTCCAGTAGTCTACGGCACATGACCTGGGTCACTAAGGATTATTTAGCCTTCCTGTGGGGCAGAGGTTTCCAGTTTATGGGGCCTACCTTTCTTTTCAGGGGGAAAAACGCTGCACAGAGCCGCCTGGCAATGAACAGCATTTGTACCATAGCCCCAAACCCAGGACACTGGATCTGCTTTTGCAGCTCCCATGGATCGCTCCAGCGCCCCCTCGCGGGGCTAGTATCACCAACAGTGCTTAGAGCACTGAGCCCTGGTGGTGCTGGGTTACATGCGGGGCTTCTAACTGAAAGACTGGTGGTTCAAACCCAACCAGCCTTTAAACTGCAAACAGACAAGACTATCAGGTTCTGATGAGTACCTACTGTCTCAGAAAACCTCCAGAGCAGTTTGATTGTCCTGTAGGGTCAGTAATGAATTGGATTGACTCAAAGAGAGTGAATGAGTTAGCCCAAGACAAGGCTCAAAGCCTTTCCAATTATTTAACAGTTGTTGCACGTGCAGTAAGTGAAGGTATTGTGATAACGAATTTGCTTTGGGGGTTGGTTCAATTGTTTCAAAGCCAGGGCAAGTATGCCTGTAAAGTAAAGCAAGGCTCAAAGACCTGTAAGCTGGACAACTGTCACCCAAGACTTATTGTTATCATATAAGATAAAACACATCATAAGTCTAATAAATCCAAGGAAACCCCTTGAGATAAAAAGCAGACACTGCCCCGAAGCATTTTCTTGGACTATGTATATTGTTTAACATAAATGATTATATAAAATTCCAAACTTATTAGAATGCTTCCTGTGTTTTTTCTTCTTGTAGTAGCCTATTTCCACTGGTAATGTGTTTCCTAGGCTCCATTCGAAGGAAAGTTTCATTCACAATTCATTTTCCTGAATATCAGTGGGCTTGGTAGTCACTGGTGCTCCTTAAAAGTCAAACTCCCTGTCCTCCGAGAGCTTATTGTCTTAGTAGGAAAATATTTTACCTGTATCTCTCTGTATGTACACTTTACAATAACTTCCATATCAAGTGTCAATTATGTTTTTAGAACCATTCTGTACATTTACATTTCGATGAAATTTAAATGAAAACAATGATTTCCACAGAGGAAACCTCCAGATATGTGTACATGCACTGCCTCCTTGAACGGCCTCAACCCTAACTGTGCAGCAACACAGGTTAGTATGTGGGTTTAGAATGAACTCTCCACCCTTGAAGAAAAACCAGCTGAGATTAGGAGGCAATGAGATGTCATGATAACATCACAAAACCAAACTCGCTGCCATCCAGCCGAGTCCCACTCAAAGTGCACCCTCGAGGGCAGTGTGGAGCTGCCGCTTTGAATCTGCGCAGACAGCCTCATCTTTCTACCACGAGGCGGCTGGGGGCTTTGAACCCTTCACCTTGTGGATAGCAACGCATCAGTGGGTAACCCAAGTGCCACTATGGCTCCTTATAAAACTAAGGTTCCTGGTGTCCCAATTGCTCTGCTCAAGAGAAAATGTTTTCACAAGGTCACGACCAAAC